AGGGAGAGGGTGGAGAGGATGGAGAGGATGAGGAGGAGGAGGAGGAGGAGGAGGAGGAGGAGGAGGAGGAGGAGGAGGAGGGAGGAGGCGGGCGGAGGCGCGGAGGAGGAGGAGGAGGCGGATGGGAGGAGGGAGGAGGAGAGGAGGAGGAGGAGCAGGAAGATGAGGAGGAGGAGGAGGAGGAGGGGATGATGATGCTGATGATGATGCTGATGATGATGATGATGATGATGCTGATGATGATGCTGATGCTGATGCTGATGCTGATGCTGATGATGATGATGATGAATGATGATGATGATGATGATGAGGAGGAGGAGGAGAGGAGGAGGAGGAGGAGGAGGAGGGAGGAGGAGGAGAGGAGGAGGAGGAGGATGATGAGGAGGAGGAGGAGGAGGAGGAGGGAGGAGGGGGGAGGAGGAGGGGAGGGTGAGGAGGGTGAGGAGGGGGAGGATGGGGAAAAGGGGGAGGAAGGGAGGATGATGAATGATGATGATGATGATGATGCTGCTGATGATGATGATGATGATGATGATGATGCTGATGATGATGATGATGATGATGATGATGATGATGATGCTGATGATGATGATGGATGATGATGATGATGATGATGATGATGATGATGATGATGATGATGATGATGATGATGATGATGATGATGATGATGATGATGATGATGATGATGATGATGATGATGATGAGGAGGAGGAGGAGGAGGAGGAGGAGGAGGAGGAGGAGTTGGGGGGAGGAGGAGGAGGAGGAGGAGGAGGAGGAGGAGGAGGAGGAGGAGGAGGAGGAGGAGGAGGAGGAGGACCAGGAGGAGGAACAGGATGATGATGAGGAGGAGGAGGAGGAACAGGTGGAGGACCCCCGTGGGGCACTCCCTCGGGAGCCCTTGGTGCGGGAGCTGCCGACGTCCTAGCTCATGGGGGTCCCACGCAGGCTGGGGGCGCGGCGGGAGGACGAGGACGAGTATGCTGGGTGAGGGGAGTCGGGGGGGGGCTGAGGGTTTACGGTAAGGGTGAGGAAATTGTGGAGGAGGGACCAGGGATGCTGATGATGCTGATGCTGCTGCCGATCATGCTGCTGATGATGATGCTGCTGCTGATGATGATGATGCTGATGCTGTTGATGATGCTGCGGTTGTTGTCTATGATGATGATGATGATGATGATGATGATGATGATGATGATGATGATGCTGATGCTGATGATGATGATGATGATGATGATGATGATGATGATGATGATGATGCTGATGACGATGCTGATGCTGGTGCCGGTGATGGTGATGATGCTGCTGCTGATGCTGTTGGTGCAGATGATGATGTTGCTGCTGCTGATGATGATGAGGATGCTGATTGTGATGCTGATGCTGCTGTTGATGCTGTTGATGGTGATGATGAGTATGATGATGCTGATGCTGATGCTGTCGATGACGATGATGCTGAAGATGGCGATAGTGATGCTGATGATTATGCTGCTGCTGATGATGATGCTGCTGATGATGATGCTGCTGATATTGCTGATGGTAATTGTGATGGTGATCATGATAATGGTGATGCTGCTGATACTGATGATGCTGATGATGATGATGATACTGATGCTGATGCTGATGAGGATGCTGATGCTGATAATGTTGATGCTGATGATGATGCTGGTGATGACGATTATGGTGATGCTGATGCTGATGATGTTGCTGCTGATGATGATGCTGATGCTGATGATGAGGATGCGGGGGAGAAGGAGGAGGAGGAGGAGAAGGAGGAGGAGGAGGAGGGACAGGGAGGGGAGGATGAAGAGCACCAGCAGGAGGCTGAACAGGATCATATTGCAGCCAAAACTAAGAATGTGTTTTGTTGCCTTTGTGTTTTAGCATTGCCTGGTATTATGTGTTTGCGATGCTTGCTGTTGTCTGTTTGCTCTTGCTTGTCTGCCGTATTGATTCACTGCAGTGCTTCTGAGACTCCCCTGAGGAGCAGGATGAGGATGAGGATGAGTGTGAGGATGATGATGATGAGGAGGAGGAGGACGAGGAGGAGGAGGAGGCGGATATTGTGTTAGATTATTTCGTTCCGACTGTGAGCGAGCAGGTGCGAGGCAGTAGTGTAGCATTCAGCGGTCAGGTAGCAGGCATGACAGTATCAATGGATCGTCTGCTCGCTTATTTGGCTCAAGCGCTATTGCTTTCTCATGGAAAAGCTCCTGGCAGATTTTCATAGTAGCGAAGCCCGTGGTTCGCCACACGGGTTCCAGAGCAGAGATGGCTGCGGCGACAGCTGTAGCTGCCCTCACGAACCCTGGAACCAACGATCCAGGTTACGCTGTGTGGTTACCTGAAATACGGGAAGCCTGGTACAATCTGGGCACGATATGGTTCGCGGAACTGTGCAACGCAGGTTACGAGAACGGGGGCTTCAGGTACGTGGGCACAGCGCCGAAAGCCAATCATGAAAACATTACGTGGTTCTGCTGCCACACAGGGCGCCAGGACTCCTGGCAACGATGGAGCATTCACAATGTTGTAAATGAGCTGCGCGTGAATGTTCTTTGATCTCAATTGCAACATGTGTTGCGAGGGTCAGTTCAAGAACTCAAGGAGTACGCGCGGAAATAATTCCAACATCTACTGGCAACTTCGGAGCATGTTACGAAGATCGCTGGGGCAATGCAATCCGCAGGAAGCGCCGGGACAGGCGTAGGTGGAAACAAACCCGTGATTGATTTCACGGCTGTTCAACCGATGAAGACGTTCTCAGGGGACACGGCCAAGGTCAGATACTGTACCGAATCATGTTGAATGTATTTGGTTAAGTGAAGCACGGCCACTGGACACCCCTCAAGAATTTGAGCAACACATCCGGAACCATGGATGGAACAGTTCCACATGACGAAAAGCGTCGGGAACCAAAGGGAGGGACATTACCCAAAGGGGGGTATGCGTTGGATGAAGGCGACTCTTCCACGTTTGGCGATGCCCTTTTGGTATTTGTAGCATGGCAAACTAGGGGGAACATGCCCCAGGGGAAGCTTGATGGCCTGCATGAAGGAGACGGTCTGACGGCCTACCACAGGATATACCAGCGGTGCTTTGCGGTTATCGGGGTTATTCTTTTGGCACAAGATGAACTTGTCTATGAACTCCGACAATACAGTAGCATATTAATGAATGAGGTGGTTGTCCAGAGTCGATCGACATGTATGCGTCTCTCTATCCGTTACCATTGCCATTCAGGGTTGCAGCCTTGAGAAACATTCGAGCCCACGCAGGCGATTGGTTTGATGACTGGCAGCAAAATTACTTGAAGACCACCAAATCGTTGAACAACGACACATGCCGAGAACTTTTCGCTCAGTGCGGGGATTGGGCAAGGAAGACAAGGTTAGATGCGGGCACGGAAAACGCCGATGCAATTGAAATTGGCCAGGTTAACGATGACGACAGTGGAAATTGGGAAGCCAATGGTGGCGATGCAGGTTATTGGTACGAGGTAGGTAACTGGTGGCCATGGACTGTGGAAGCTCTGACCGAGAACGGCAGCGCGAACGAAGTTAGTAAACGAAAGGGTGAATGCACAGGTGTGGCAGGAACGGGCGCTTGGCCAAGGATTGCACCACCAAAGGAGCCGTTAAAGGAAAAGGAGGTGGAACAGGATAATGCAACATTTTGAAGGGTTACCAAGGGGTGCATGCGGGAGGATACGCGCGGGGATATACAGACACCCGTGTTCACTCAGGGTGTACTCAAAGGGAGGCTACACAGGGGGCCCCTGGGGAGGTTGCCAACGGGGGGCGAATCCCAGGCATGAAAAGAGGAGATAAAAGAGTATTTGTGCCGATCAGTGAGAGGGAGTGCTGCGCATGCAAGCGAAAAAGGGTCCCGCTTCAGCCTTCTGCCCCAAGAACACCAGTGATATTTCTTGAGGTCAAGGGGGGCAGGAAACCCGGGAGAGCCCGCGCGCATGCTAGGGCAACCTCCACCAGGGCCCGGGTGCTATGGCGTCGAGTAGGGCGGAGTTACTGACGACAGTAGAGGCGCTGATGAAACCAAAACACCTGGGCCACCTAGGGGGGAACAGGAGTGGAGGACGCAGTGCCATGTGACGGAGAGGAGGAATCGGGAAACCATATTAGGGATCGAAAGAAAAAATATCACTGCATGAGTGCGGCGTTAACTACAACCATGGCGCCAACTGGGACAATCGAATTTCGGAGTGTATCAAGCAGGGGAACAGTTTTACGCACACATGCATTTACCTATAGTTAGTGGAGATGGAGGTTCCCGACAAAGAAGTCACTGAAGTACTGGTGAGGGACCGGGGAAGTTGGATGGATGCTGTTCTTGTTGCTGTGGATTCAGGGGCTCACGACGCTGTTGGGCCCCCTAATGTGGGAACTCACTTCCTCGCCAAACTCGCGGAGGCCTCCAAGAACGGCAAACACTGCAGTGCGGCGATGGGGTTTAAAGGCGGTCATCCAAGTAGCCAGTCAGAAACATGTATTTGGGCCTGCTCGTGAGATGGTCGAAGCAGCGAATCGCATTGTGCTAGATCGAGACAGCGATGGGTGATCCTGCGTTTACATTGAGAGCGAAGCAAGTGGGCAAAAAGGCGACGATCAACGAGAACCGATGTAACTTCCAGTTCGCCATCCGGGTCCCCAAAGGAGCTGCGAGTCGAGAGGGGGCGAGAAAGGTAATTGGGAGAGGCTCGTGAGGGGGGATTTGGGGATTTCCCAAGCATGGAACGGGGAGATGGCGGACCTGTTCTACTGAGTCTGGCGGGCCCGTAAGCCCAAGTCAAAATCCAGCCATCATCCACCCGAGAGGCAGGATGATGAGGAAGAGGAGGTGGATAAGCAGGAGGAGAAAGAAGAGGAGGCGAAGAAGAAGAGGAGGAGGAGGAGGAGGAGGAGGAGGAGGAGGAGAGGGGGAGGATGAGGAGGAGAAGCTGGAAGAAAAACAGGAGAGTGCGGAGGATGAGGATGAGGATGAGGATGAGAATTTGGCTTGGGCGCGGGGCAAGGGGAGGATGATGACGATGACGACGAGGGTGCGCGCGCGCGGCAGGACTCCCTGACCACGCCGCCGCCAGCAACGGGGGCCTCAGGGGTCGGCGGACCGGCGGAGGCGTGGGGCGAGGACGCTTTCGAGAAGAGGTGCCTTGGTTTCCATCCCTCCGTCCTGTTCCTCCTCCTCCTCCGAAGCGGCCATTGACCACCTTGCCTTCGCTCCTCCCAGAAGCTATCGTGCCTGAAAGGAGTGATGTCTTGTCGAATTTGTGGGCGGTGTTGTGCAGCCGCTACCCAGCTCTTTTCCTGTTCCTTTCCCCCACAGGGCCACACGAAAGCGGGCCTTGGTGTGTTGTCAAGTGTGTCTGGGGGTGTACCGCCGAACACCAGGATGCAATTCCCCAAATGATTCTGAGATCGTGGGCCCCCGCTTGTCGAGGAGAGCCCAGGACAGATTCAGATTCCTCTTGCATCTCTTCCCTCCTGCATTTTCTCCCTCTCCTCCCTCTTTCCGTCTCGTCCCCTCCTCTTTCCTCACTCCCACTCCATTCACTCTCCTCCTGCTCCTAGCTGGTATTCTGATTGCATTGCTTGAGTGCTTATGCTCAGGCAGTCGCATTCCTCACAGGGCTATATGGCAGGCTGCGATGTCAGAGCCACTTTTGCGAACGGCACGGTTGCGGCCAGATGCAGTAAGGACCACTTGCCAAATTGTCAATACACGCGTTTATTAAGACGTTTCCGTGTACCCCCAAGGCGGAGGAGGTGGATGATGTTGTTGATGATGATGATGATGATGATGATATTGATACTGATACTGATACTGATACTGATACTGATACTGATACTGGTACTGATGATGATGATGATGCTGATGCTGATGATGATGATGCTGATGATGATGATGACGATGATGATGATGATACTGATGATGATGATGACGATGATGATGCTGATGATGATGATGATGATGATGATGCTGATGATGATGATGATGATGATGATGATGATGATGAATATGATGATGATGATGATGATGATGATGATGATGATGATGATGATGCTGCTGCTGATGATGCTGATGCTGATGCTGATGCTGATGCTGATGCTGATGCTGATGATGATGATGATGATGATGATGATGATGAGGAGGAGGAGGAGGAGGAGGAGGAGGAGGAGGAGGAGGAGGAGGAGAGAGGAGGACGGAGGAGGGAAGAGAGAGGTGGAGGAGGAAAAGGAGGGGAGGGAGGAGGAGGAGGAGGAGGAGGAGGAGGTGGAGGATAAGGAGGAGGAGCAGCAGGAGCAGGAGGGGAGCTCGATTTCAAAACCTTGTCGTCGATGATTCTTCTTGCAGTCCCTCGGAGGTGGAGCCCACCCAAGTCATTGACCCGTTTCCTTCGGTCATGACGAACTTGATTGCAGCGTAAGTTTGGACCGAACGGGCTTATCAGCGCTCCCGAGTTTGGTGACGGTTTGAATGCCAAATGGGATTTGACCAGTGAGCAACGTCTGGACTACGGTAGATGTGAGGGTACGAGTGCCAATGGTTGCGCCTACCGCAGCGTTCAAGAGCAGAGCAAACGCTTAGCTAGGGCGCGATATGTTGCTTCTCGTGTTGTCAGCCTTATGGGTGCTGGGTTCAACGTCAGCACGGCCATGAGCAGGTCTCCTGCTGCCACTATTGTCTAGGGATTGGATGCCACTGGCCTGGCCGACTTCCTGCGGCGCGCGCAGCGCCTTGCAGCTCTGAGGGCCGAGGGCAGAGGTCCCCCCAGCACGCCTGTGGCCGTGAGGCTGCGGGCTCCTCCCCTCTTTCCCCCTCTCCCTCCTTTTCCTCGAACTCCTCCTCCTCCTCCTCCTCCTCCTCCTCCTCTTCCTCCTCCTCCTCCTCCTCCTCGTCCTCCTCCTCTTCCTCCTCCTCCTCCTCCTCCTCGTTCTCCTCCTCCTCCTCCTCGGTGGACCTCGCCCAGACTGCGCTGCCAGGACTGTTCGCACGATGTCCAGCGCCGCCGCCTTCAGAAACCCCTTCCGGGGCGACTTTGGCATCGCGGACTTCTCGCCATCTGTCTCCACTGAGCTAGTGCGTTCGCCTCTACTTTTTTGTTCTGCGGCCCGCAAGGAAAAGTCCAGAGGGCGTGTTAATCAGGCTAACTGGGGCACAGAGCCAGATAATTCGTGCACATGCAGAACAATTGGGGAAAACACGTTCGCCTCTACTGGCAGCTGCAGAAATTTCTTCCCCTCGTCGCGTGGGCTGCGCGTAGATATGGCCGCTCCACTGGGCTCCCGTTGCCGCAATGCTTGCTCACAAGTTCACTTGCGCGTGGACACGCATACGTGTGGGCTGCTCAACGAGAAGCCTGGCTCGAGGCAGACACTGGCGACAGGCCAGGTCTCACGCTCACGGCAAGGCTCTGCATGACCGATCCCCTCCGAGGAACGAGGGAAGCTCCGTCCCATAGTTTCTGCGAGGGTCTGCGGCTTTTCGCTGCCACAGCCGTTTTTGCCTCACGTGGACTGGACTGACCTGGCAATTCAACGTGGACTGCGAGGCGCGAGCAGGGCACTGCGCCCCCGCGCGCGCGAGGGGAATCCATTTCCGAGAGATCTCCCAGCGCAGTCAGCCCCCCCACCCGCGCCCCCCTGGAAACCCAGCAACAAGGACCAGTGCGAGCGTGCCTGGGATCGTGGGATCCCGAGGTCGCTCCAAAGTCATATTGTGATATGCTGGAGGCGGGGTGCAGATCCCGACGTGCAAAAACACCGGTTTTCAACATACCGCGCCACTGCGCAGAGGTCACGCAAAGTCCCGAACCCCGTATCGCGTCGCCGCGAAGCTTTCGGAGTGCCGATGGGGGACCACCGTCGACCCTCTCATCTTCGTCGCCGACGTTAGCCATCATCCTTGCTGCTCGCTTGCCGTCAGCTTCCAGATGACAGAATCTTCCCCTGTTGCGTCGGGCGTCGTCGCAGAGATCAGAGCCCGTGGCAATGGCGCTGTGGTCTTGGAGGGCCTCGGCCGGATCCTCCTCCAGTGATCTGCTCTGACAAGGACGTACACCATCGCCAACATTCGGTATCGTTTTAACCAATCCCCATCCCCATCCCCATCCCCTTCGAGACCCCCACCAAATTACCCCCCCAGTTGGGGATACACCCCTCGAAACCCTAAGGGCCTAAGGGAACGACCTAGATCCCCATCTAGGGGGGTAAATCGGCCAGTGGGGCCCAGGCCACGCCGCTGGGGATGGGGATCGGTTAAACGATGCTCAAACACGTCCGCGTCCATTCTGGCTCCGACGACGCAGGTGCCATTGAGGCTCGCTCGGCAACAAAGGCGTGATTGAGCCCCAAGAAACGTGAGCTTCAGCCATTGGCCGCGCCATCCAGCTCTCCGATGTTGCCGAATTTCCAGCAGCAGAGGTCAAACGGTTGAAAACGGAAACCTCCCCTGGCCTGACCCAGACAGAGAAGAGTTTAATGCTTGATTGTTCTGTGCGTTCTGTTGTGAAGATGTTGCGTTTTAGCCGTGTGGCGGCGATGGTGTCCATCGAGCAGACCCCCTTCTTTCAAATTCTAGACGCTTCGCGTAACCCCACCAGCCCATCCAGAAACCATGAACAGACGAGTTGCCCTGATCAGGGATGTGAAGTAGAAAACAATGGAATAAAGAGTTGGGTAAGACGTCGCACCTCAAGAGGGGGAGGAGGGAGGAGGAATCGGAGGAGGAGCAAGAGGAAGGGGAGGAGGAGGAGGAGGAGGAGGAGAAGGAGGAGGAGCAAGAGGAATATGAGGAGGAGGAGGAGGAGGAGGATGATGAGAACCAGTGTAGACCCAAGATTCATCAACGATGTTGGAATACACCCTCCCCCCACGCTCCCCCTTCAGAGGCCCTTACAATGTGCGCCCCCCGCTGGGGGACAACCGTGCGAAAATCTTGACGCGTGCCAAAACACCATTCTCAGGATTTCAACACCGCGAGTCAACTTGACTGTTGCGTCTCGACGATTCTGAATCGTGCCAAAACATTATTCCTGGGACCTCAACACCGCGAATCAACGTGACTGCTGCGCCCTGACAGTCCTTTATCGTTCCAACACACCGTTTCAGGAATCTTTACCATGGGAACCAGTGAAGCCCTTGCACATGTTTGAAACGAATGTGCGCGGCGCTGATGCGAGAGCCACATTTTGACAAGGAGCCGCCCTCAATCCACAGGGACGCCCTAGACGGCCCAATCTATTTGTACGAGTGCAAGGAGTACTTACGTACATTGAAAAATGGCTTGATACAACTCTGGGTCCGTCGGGGGAGCCTGAGTCCAGAGCACACCCCTCAAGGGCCCAAGACGGCCTTCAGGGGGGCCCGACGAGCTCCCCCAGACGGCCACGATGGGCCCAAAATGGTTTACGATGGGCCTACTATGGCCACTCGACGGCTCAACGGGCTCCCCAGATGGCTCAAGGGGGAATGAAGACGACTCCCAAAAGTCCCCCGGGAGGCCAACATCATTGGTTTTCCTGAGGTTTCGGTCCATTTTCGCATGTTCGGTTTCTTGGTCTCCAGAGCGCCCGAGATGGCCGACGTGGCCCCCGAGGTCGCTACAAGATGGCTCCATAGGCGCCCAAGAGGGCCCCAAGACGAGGCCAGGACGGCCCAAGAGAGGCCCAATACGGCCCCAAGACGCTCCAAGAGGGCCCGGTGAGGGGCCCCAGACAGCCCAAGAAGGCCCCAGGACAGCCCAACTGGGCCCCCAGACCGCCCCAGAACAGCCCCAAGAGTCCCCCAAGATTGCCCTGAGGGACCAGTGCGACACCAGGAGGGGGCCCAAAAGGCCCCCAGGACGGCTTGAAAACGGCTTCAAGAGACCGCGGAGAGGGCCCACCCGGGACGCTGCATCAGTACAGCGACGTGCCGAACATGCATGTGTATGGGGACGCGGGCCGGGGGCTGCGGCCCAGGGGCCTCTCCGCGCCATGGGGGCCCATCGCCTTCCGAACGCCTCCGGGCGGCTCGGCGAGAGATTCTGGGCGGCACCGGAGGCTCCAAATCCACGCGCCGATGGGGCCGAGAGCGCCCGAGAACCCCCAAGGTGTGCCCACGGCGGCCCAAGAGGCCCCCAGAGGCCCCAAGACCACTAGCTAAGA